CCCATGGCCTGCTCCCTGCCCCTGTTGAGCCCTGGGCTGACTCAGCTGTCTGGTATAGGGACAAGAAGGAAATAAATGATTACCCCACCAAGGGAGAAAGGCTAGGACAAGAAAGGCTGGGGGACAGAGGGTGCCCGGCAAGACCTGTGGGTCAGGGAGGCCTTCCTACCCTGGGACAGAGAGTGAGCAGGACCCTGGCAGATAAACGGAGGAGGAAAGTGGAGAGGTGGCAGGGGTTGGTGGGTGGGAGGAAATAAAAAGATTCCTCCAGGCTGGAGGCAGAATGGAGGCGGGCTGGTGGGAAGCAGGGTGGGGCTGGGCACAGGGCCCGTCTGGAGCACTACATGGTGCCTGGACTCTGGTCTTCTGGTTAATAGGGATCAATGGGACCCATGGGGAGTGCCATGTGGGCTGTGGCATGTCAGATTTTCTCAATGGACAGATACCCCACCCCTACCCCCTACAGTGTGTAGCTCAGGCAGGGGATTGTTTAAAAAATGCCACCGCAACCAGACATGTTAACCCACACCTGTAATCCCAGTACTCAGGTAACAGGCAGGAGGATCGTAAGTTCTAGGCTCTCCTGTGGAATCAAGGAGACCCCCCTCTCACCAGAATCAACACAGGAAGTCTAGAACTGCCCCCAAGTCCTGGTCTGGGCCCCAGGTGCAGCTTCTAGATACATCACAAGAGGTACGGTGGCTTTTGTCTTGTAGAGATAGGGTCTTGCTTGAACTTGATATATAGCCAAGGATGGACGAAAAATTGTGATCTTCCTGCTTCCGCCTCCCCAACCCTGGGATTGCAGGGTGTGTGTCATGCCTGACCTAGTGGCTCTTTATCAGTCTTAGTTGTGTTTGAGGCAGGGCTCATGAGGCCCAGGTGGCTCTGAATTCATGATCTAACAGGATGACCTGAACTTCGGACCCTCCTGTCTGTTCCTGATGCTGGGGTCCCTGCCCTGTGCCTCTACTCCCTTGCAGGCCCCATGAGACCCTCCTAGCCTTGGGGCCACAGTAGCTGGCAGTCAAAAGTGTCTTGAACGGCCAACTTCCCCTTCCGGCCCCACTCCTTCCTGCTGTCTGAGCTGCTCCGCCGACCCCTAACCCAGTGAGAGTTCCTCAGAAGCCCCAGACTGTCCCCACCAAGGCCTGAGTCACAACTGAGAATTCCACAGTTGCCACACGAGCATCTTCTCTGGCCAGACACAGTTGAAACACAGCAGAACATGCCTCCCTATGGGAAAGTGGCCAACGGGAGGAGTGCCCACCCCCTTGGTTCCCGTCTCTCAAGTCCTTCGTGTATGCAGGCACCAACTTTGGCTGGTGGGCCTGTGGTGAAACTGACACTGTGCTGGAGAATGGGGAGGGAGGGACAAACCACCGGCCTGGATGGACGGTGGTCAGGGAGGGCCTCTCTGAAGAGGTGACCTTCAGCAGAGACCTAGATAGTGAGTCACTCCGGGGAGCTGGGCTCAGAGGAGGTAGGTCTCAGTTCTGAGACAGGAGCCTTGAATGGCCAGGGTGTGGAGACTGGATTTTACTCTAAGTAAAACATGAAGAAACCAGCTGAGATGACCCTGAACTTCTTTCTCTCCTAGGTCTCCAGCCCAGAGGGCAGCTCCTGCAAAAATGTCTGTGGATCCCTTATCCAGCAAAGCCCTGAAGGTGAGCTAGCGTCTGTGGACCACACTGGTTTCTGTGGTCTCTCTGCTGCTCTCCTCACAGAGCAGCGACATCCCAATTCCCCTTTCCTTCCTGGAAGCCCCAAAGGGGACTAAGCAGCGACAGGGCTACAGGGGCAGGTCACTTCCTTCTGCGCCTGCTTTCCCCATTGAAAGGGGCTTTCCAGACTGGGTTTCTCAGCTTGGTTAGTTGGAGCCCTGGTGGCCTCCAGTGTGCTGATGTTGGTCCCGGTCACCTTCAAGGTCTTAGCTCAAGTGCAGTCACCGCCAAAACGGGGAGGGAGGGAGGGAGGGAGGCAGGGCGCACTGGGAAGTGGGGCGGCATCCCCAGCACGGCCCCGTGCCTCTGTTTCCCCACGGCTCGCAGGTGAAGCGCGAGCTGAGCGAGAACACGCCGCACCTGTCGGATGAGGCGCTGATGGGGTTGTCGGTGCGCGAGCTGAACCGGAACCTGCGCGGTCTGTCGGCGGAGGAGGTGACGCGGCTGAAGCAGCGGCGGCGCACACTCAAGAACCGCGGCTACGCGGCCAGCTGCCGGGTGAAGCGCGTGTGCCAGAAGGAGGAGCTGCAGAAGCAGAAGTCGGAGCTGGAGCGCGAGGTGGACAAGCTGGCGCGCGAGAACGCCGCCATGCGCCTGGAGCTCGACGCGCTGCGCGGCAAGTGTGAGGCGCTGCAGGGCTTCGCGCGCTCGGTGGCCGCCGCCCGCGGCCCGGCCGCGCTGGTGGCACCCGCCAGCGTCATCACCATCGTCAAGTCGGCGCCCGGCCCCGCCCCCGCTCCTGACCCCGCCCCCTGCTCTTAGTACCCGCCCCTTCCCCCGCCCCACGCCCCTCCGACCCGACTCCCTTCCCAAAGTGCCTGAGTGCCTCCCGCTCCCGGTCCCGTTTCGCTGCCACTGTTACCCAGTGTGATGACTTCACATTGCTTTCCTGGGCTCTTTCTAACTCTTGCAGGCCCCCAGACTGGGACCTGATGGCCCTGGGGAGGGGCAACTTTGCTAAGTTGTGAGGGGGACGTTGGGGTCCTGGGTTTCCCTGGGCTGAAAGTCCATCTCAGATTGGAAGCGAGGTGGTGTAGAGATGGCCCGGAGAAGAGCTGGCGGGAGAGGCTTTGGATTGTACCAGCATGCCCTTCCCAACTTCCCACACTTCCCACGACTTAGGACTGGGTGTGGCCTTGTGGGGCTGCCCTGCTGGGAAGCAGAACTCAAGAGACCTCCCAACTCTGCTTGGGACCTAGGAATGTCAGGCCTTCCCAAGCTCAGAGTCTTTGGAACGGACCAGTGGAGCTCAGTTGACAGATGGGGAAGCGGTCAGGCAGACGGACCCAAGGCCACACAGGACGGAGTGGCTGAGCTGCAACCCCACTGGGGCCTTCTCACTGCTGCCCTAACATTCCAACCATGGACTGACTTCACGGGGAACACACGGGGACTCCTCTCTGCCTGGGAGACCTTTGTCTAGGTGGTGGGGAAGAGAAGCTGAAGGAGAGAGGAGGTGACACTAAGGGACGAGGTGAGGAGCTGGCCAGCCAGAGGAGGGGCAACGGAGATGACCTCTGTGGTAGGCAGGGACAGACACTACAGTCCTGACGCAGGCAGTGGAGAAAAGGGGATCCCTTGGACTTAGGGCTTCCACTTTGGTCCGGAGTATCCGTGGTGGTGTGGGGGCTGACCACTGGTCCCCTGGGAAGTCTGGCCCTAGCACCTCCCCAACACTGTATACAGCTGACCCTCTACACTTATTTATTGCACGAATCTTAAGTTATTCTCGCCATCAGAGCCCAGCTTTCTGCCCTGGGAAATATGTGGGCCCTGGGCTGGACTTTATATTTTATATCTACAAATAAATCACACTTAATCTTATATTTAGGGAAAGCTGGATGGCAACACCAAGGTTTTTTAAACATTGCCCAGCTCCCAGAGTTATTTATTTTCTGACTTAAAGTGAGCCAGTTATCTGCCTGGAGTATTTTGTAGACTTTCTGAATAAAGTCGAGTTCTCTTTTTCCACAGAGAAGTGTATATATCCTGGAGTGTTCTGTGTGTGCTCTGAATGAGTGGCCTGAGACCACTTTTGGGTCTTGGGAACTTTTGGGTCATGGGAGGCTAAGTCCACTGCTACCTTTTACAAGCAGGTGTGGGTGGAGACTGGGCAAGGAAAGGCTGTGCTCAGTCTGTACACAGTCCCAGGCAGAGAGAGAAGTCCTGGGTTTTCAAAGTCTCTGTCTACCACCTTCACGTAGGTCTCATTTTCTACAGCCCAGTGGAAACTACAATCCTGTGGATTTGAAGGCCCAGAAAAGTAGATTGCTGAGTTCTAGCCAGCAGGCCTCAGCCTTAATCTTCGGTCTTGGGAGGGAGCGGGGAAGGTTTACCCACTCATTAACTCTGTCCTGTCTGGTAAGGAGTGGAATACTCTGGTCTTCGGCCAGGGAAATGGGTTTGAACCCAAGTGGTCTTTTTCTGGGTGGTACTGACTAGTTTCTTGCTGTACCCGTTTCCTTTAAAATGAAGGTGCTACAGAGGCATGGTCCAGAAAAGCCAGAGGGGCTGCCATAACAAATGACAGGCCATAGGACTAGGGTGAGGACCTTGTCTGTGGCTGGTCAGGGAGGGAGAGAGGGGCCAAGGAAAGGGGTAAGAGTTGGACTGTGGGGAAGAGCTAGATCATGTGGCGGGACCCACAGAACTGCCTCCCCTTCAAGTTGGGGCTGTGCCAATACTCCTTCCTGAGAGGCTAAGCTCAGGCCTGGCAGCAGGAAGGGGTGGTGGGTGGGGATGAGGATGCCCAGATGATGTAGCCTTTACCTTCACGGTACAGGCTGCCTGGGAAGTTCCCCCGCCCACATGCATTCCTGCCGTGCCTGTCAGCCCCAGGCTAGACCTTAGAACGGCATGGTGCCTGGGCATGGTGCCTGGGCATGGTGCATGCAGGAAAGGTACCAGGGCCTGGTACCCTCGCCCTAGGCCTCCTGGTTCCTAAGGATGGAGGATGGGCTCAGAGAAGTCAAGGCAGGCCTTTGACCTTTTGGGAGATACCGACAAAAAGTTCACCACTTACCTCTGGAAAACACAGGACGAGGCCCAGCCCTCGTGGGGATGGGGAGAGGGTGAACACTTTGTGGTCAGCTGTCTGTGCAGAAAGAAGGGACTGTCCAATGGGGACGTGGAACCTGATTTTAGTTCCAGACACTATAAACACCCCCATGACCTACATACACATGGCACACAGGAAGAGGGTGGACATCCCCATCCACGGCCACTACATTTCTTCCAGACAAAGGGGGCAGGAAAGAACCTCACTGGCAGGCAGAGGAGTTTCGGTACAATCTATATTATCTCATGTATATTTTTCCTGACTTCATTTGCTGCTTCTGTCACGCATTTAAAATATCACAGAGACCAAAATAGAGCGGCTTTCTGGTGGAAGGCATGGCAGTCACAGGACGAGATACAAAACTAGGGGCTCTGTCTTCTCATACATCATACAATTAATTTTCAAGTATTTTCTTTTATGTACAAAGAGCTACTCTATCTGGAAAAAATAAAAAATAAATGAGACAAGATAGGTTATGCATCCTAGGAAGAAGGAATGGGGCGGTCGGTGGGTACAGGTTCCTGTCCCGTGTTCCCATGGACCACAAGCTTCCTGCCACTGAGCTCCCCCACAGCCTCGCCTACCATGCCAACAGGCAAGTGCCAGGGTGGGTGGGGACCAGTGGGGACAGAAACCAGCAACATCCTTTGGCCTGCAAGGAAGGGAAAAGTCTGAGAAACAGACTGGTGGAAGCCATCCCAGGAGGGAACCATGGCCACACCCCAAGGAGCTCCCATCTGCCAGCTGCCTTCCTGGGCAGCTTGGGACCAGCTGGCCAGGCCTACTGGGTGGGGCTGAGAGCTGCCCTCTGGTACCTACCCCACATGCTGGCCTCTAGGCCACGAGGAAGGAAGGAGAGTAAGAAGGTTGCTAGGATGCAGCAGCCCCATGAGGCCCCTCCCCATGGACCCTAGGGAAGGAACCTGTTTGTTCCAGAAGTGACCAGAGGGAGGGCTTCCAGTGAAGGCCACAAGGCAGGGCTCTTCCTTCTACATCACTCTGCCCACCTCAAGAGGCTGCTGAAGCCAAACCCAGGTGCTGCCTGGATTCCACTCACCAGGTCCTCAGTCCCCTCCCTGGGAGGCTCCAGCCCTGGAGGCAGATCTGGGATGGGAGTGCCGAGGGAGCCAGGGGAGAGAATGCGTGGTCCCAGACAAGGACACCTGACCTAGAGTCCTGAGTGCCAGCAGCTCAACAAGGAAGTGCCTGGGACAGACTGGGGACTGGGGAGGGGCTTTCATATGTGACTAAGGCACAGAAGAGATGGGCCAGGGGCCAGAGGGAGCAGAACACCAGGCCCTGCATGGCCAGGGGACCCAGGGGTCTGAGACCACCCCTACCTTGACCCGGCTGCATAACCATCCCTCCAGCCTCCCTCTGGAAGTGGTCTGAACGTGGAGACTCAGACTTCTTCCATGACCCAGGAGGGATAAGCCCCAGGCAGAGAGACCAGGACCTAGCAGGAGTCTGACTGCTCCATTGAGGAGGAGCAAGCCCTGGCACAGTCAGAAGTACAGGGGCTCTGCCCCAAACTATCAAGAACTGGACCCAAGTGAGAGAGCAGTATGGACTGCTGGCTGTCCTCAGCAGGCCAGAAGAGCCAAGAGGCAAGCCGAATGGCCACAGTGAGGACACCCAAGGGCCCAGAGCCCCACATGTCACCCAAGGGCCCATAGGCACGGAGGCATCCTTCCTAGGTGGGCCCCGGGGCTCCTGGGGTCTGGCTCTGATCCTTGCAGCATGCCAGGCAGGCCTAGGTTAGGAGAAGGGAAGGTCCACAGAACATTCACTCTCCTCCTCCTGCCCAGAATGAGACGAATCTCACACTGGACAAGGATGAAGAGGGAGGGGCAGGCAGGTGGGAAGATGAGGTCAGGTCTGGGTATTGCACGGTGTGGGGTGGGCTGGGCCTGAGAGCCTCGCAGATATCTTGTTGGGAGGGGGCTTAGGATGCAGCTTCTGGCCAACACACAAGCATTTGGCCCAGGCATGGCTGGTTCCAGACGTGTCCCCAATACAGGACGGGCAGCAGAGGTGTGGCAGCTACAGCCAGCGTCCCCTGCTCTTGCCCCAGATAGTGCAGGGTTGGCCATGTAGACACATTCCTGAGGCCTGTTCCTCTGGAAGCGATATGCGAGTGTTTCTGGTCCAATAAATAAAGGGGCAACAGCAACACTGTGCGGGCTGCTCCCCGGCCTGGCTGGAGGCTGGAGGAGGCACTTCTCCTTCCCCACCAGTGCCCATACTTAGAACTCATCATCAGAGCTGAGCAACAGAGTCTTCTCGTTGTCACGGGCACCACTGAGGCTGTGGGACCGGGAAAGGCTGTGGGTGCCACCGCGCCAGGTGGGCCCAGGCTCCAGAGTAGACTGCTGCGTGTATTGCTGGTAGGCAGGGGAGAAGTTGTGGATGGCATCCTGTACGATGTCATGGGGGTTCATGGTCTCTTTGAGGCTGCTGGAGATGCTCTTCATGGGGGCACAGCGGCCTGCAGGGGGGAGGCAGGTGGGGCAAGGGCCAGAGCAGAGCAGGAAGAGGAGGCTTGATCAGTCCCTGCCTCTGCTCCAGGGACAGACCCCCGCCCCCCCAGACACGAAAGAGTGCTGCTGCTGCTGACTGGAGTAAACACAGGGAGCAGCGAACGGAGCGAAGATGAAGGGGAAGAGGCAACCCATCCCTGGGAAGGATGCTCATGTTGGGAAGGGACTGGGCAGGAATGGGAAATCCGCAGGCAGTCACCTGGAATACCCCAAACGGTAGTGCCAGGCCTCTACCTGGGAGGGCTGCTGGACCAGGTACCAGAGGCCCCAACAGGAGCAGGCTGGCCTGTTGGCTATCCCTCTAAAAGGGCAAGAACTCACTCCCTTGGCATGCTTCCAATTCCTCCATCTGAAGAGGTGCCCTACAGGATCGGGGGTAGGGGTGGAAGCACAGTGGAGGCCACCAAGGCAAGCGGGAGGGATAAACGCAACCCTGGCCAGGACTCCCGCGGGACTCACAGTCTCCCCACTCTCTGGGTGCTCTGTCTTGGAAACACGGCTAAACACCCCTGCCATTTCTTTAGTGGACACTGTCCCAGAACCGAGCAGGGTGTATTTCAAAATTAAAAATGGAAGGAAGGCAGCCAAGCTCTACAAAGGGCAGCCCCCTTAGGTAGGTGCTCAGGGCTCTTATCCAGGAGTGCCAACTGGGAGGAGATGGGTACACAGAGGAGCTACAGAAACACATGCCAGTGACAGGACCAGACTGACGTGCAGGATGGACGTGCAGACAGAGGAGAGAGCAGACCTACCGTATGGGCCGTATGTCAGCACTGCCCGAGGCCAAACCCAGGGCAAATGCAGGGTAAAGGGGCAGGGAGAGAAGCCGGAGGGATAGAGAAGACAAGAGACAGCTGAGTGAAAATTGCCGCCCACCCCAGGCCCAGTGTCACCCCCCACCTATCCCCAGACACCCAAGCTGCTCTGGCCGCTGCTGAAGGACAGTGCTCATGCGAACTGGGGTCATCCTGATGGCAGTGGAAGTCCATCCCACAGCTGAGTCAGGGCCTCCATTCCCACTTCTCCCAGGGTTTGCTGGAGCTACGCCTGCATGGAGCCCTGTGCCTTGCAAAGCTCACTCCTCTGCATAGATTTGGAAATCAAGGCTCAGAGAATGACTGCAGAGCAGAGCTGGCTTTTCACCCCAGCCTGACGTGAAGCTGGGAGGAACTGGGTGCCACGGTCAAGAGGCCAGTCAGCAGCCCTCAGCAACAGAAGCTTGTCCTGGGTGGGCTGTTCCTTCTGCAGGGTAGGGTGCATCTAATGGAGGGAGGGGTGCAGTCTGGGGGCAGTACATGAAAAGACAGCTAGGTCACCAGTAAGGCGTTCCTGGAGAGCCTCTACCACACAGCACCCCTCTGCTGCAGATAACCCAGCTTGCCCCTGCAAGCAGCCTGGCTCCAGGCCCCAGGGCCTGTTAAACCAGGTTTAAGGGACAGAGATGAGTGTTATCAGATGTTTCCCACTGGAGTCCAGCAGGAAGCAGGGGGCACCAGCCAGCAAGTAGCCCAGCACAGAATAGGGATGCCACCAGGGTGGCATCTGGAGCACCATGTGTGACAGAGAGCACATGCCAGCAGAGGCATTTCAAGGTTTCTTCCCAACCAGGACAGGAGCAACAGAGGGACTCGGCAGGAGTCCTGTGCCTGTGGATCCCTAAGACTCTCCATGTGCAGCACAGGGACCTGTGGTGGGCACTGAAGCCCGGGGAGAGGGGTTGTCTGGCTTCCAGTTCTGGGGAAAAGCTGACAGCAACTGATGACAGATGCCTGGGACAGGAGGCCTCCCTCTCTGCCCTGCAGTCTCTCACTGTGGATGCCAGCCTCAGGCATTCCCCTCAGGAACTGGCCTCTGCCCTGCTGGCCTACCGCCTTCCCAGTCACCAGAAAGCTTCTCAAGGCTTACGCGTCCTAACCAATCACAGAAGTGCCCAGGGTGGGGCCTGACCCACTGAGGTCTCTCTAGGGCGCTCTTCTGTACACCAGGGGCTGCAGGATCCTCTTCAACAAGGATTAGCAGTGTAAAAAGCAAGCTCTGGCCACTGCCTCTGCCCGTGCTCCTCACAGGGAAGCCGCTTTCTGTCCTGTGTTCCTTGAAGACTCTCTCAGCAGACAGGACAGAGTAGAATCCGCACAGTGGTGTCTGTTCACTCGTCTCTGTCCCGACTTCCTTTTTTGTTCTTTTTTCTCACACTAACAGTAACCCTCCTGCCTCAGCCTCCTGAATGCTGGGATTACAGGTATACACCTTTCTATACCATCTGTGGATCTCCACACTAGGACCTAAAGGGTGAACCTAGCTTCCAGAAACAAATGGGGGTCCCTCTGGGCTCGGAGAGCCCCTGTTCTCTGACGTCAGCTCCCTTTCAGAACAGACAGATGTTGGGTAGGGGGAGGCTCTGGGGCTGACCCCAGGAGGCTGGGGTCCTGCCCTAGGAACCTGGCTCATACCTTGAGCGTCCAGCCTCTTGTCAGCGTAGACCTTGTAGGTGAAGGCATGCCGCAGGGCCAGGGCCGCGAAGAACATCTCAATACAGATGATGAAGTCCTGGTAGCCAGCAGCCACGGTGCCCTCGCCCACGGACACACGGGCTGAGTTGATCTTGGGGATGGCCCCACACTTCTCTAAGATAGCCAGGAGCATGCCTGCACAGGAGAAGCACTGTGTGGTCACACCCTGGACCCTCCCATGCCCTTCACTCGGGCAGCGCCACATACTCCAGGGTACAATAGGGCTCATCCGCTCCTAGAGGCAAGGCTGGTGACACAAGCCGAGGCCCCCACAAACCCAATTCTCTCGACAACCACCTGTCCGTCAGAACACTGGGACATCACGCACTGGACAAGGCTGCACTCAAGTTTCCTGCAAGCCTCACCCCTCCCAAATGCCCAGTGGCCAAGGTATCGCCGACATAAAGGACAGCACTCTGGCTTCGGACCCACAGTTCTGGGAACATGGAGGGGAGAGATGGGCTCAAACGGAAGTGGAAATAGGCTGTGATCACCAGGCCGAGAGGAGGCTCACCTTGCCAGAAGGAGAGAAAGATGACGGACTTGATCATGAAGAACTTGAGGACAGGGCTGTAGGGACTGAGCAGCTCCCGTGTGGCGAAGTAGAAGAGGAAGAGGGCGTAAAGGGCCAGGCTGACGGAGATGTTGTAGATGATAGTCACATAGAGGTACCCACTGGTGACACTGTGGAACAGGCATGCTGTGGCTGGGACCGACCCTACGAGGGCAGACTGCTCCCCCTCTGCCCTGCCCACAACCTGTCTCCATGGGCCACAGCTGTGCTCTCCAGCGAGGCACAATGAACCACTGGAGGGAGGGGACAGGGGAAGGGGGACATATTGGGAATGTGCTTCAGGGGTGTGCCTATGGACAGGCTGGTCTTCCACTACCAGTCCACTCACTCACATGGTGGCCCTGCTCTGAACCCATTCCTCAGAGAGGACTCTAGAGGGAAGCCAGGACTATGCTGGAGGCCACAGTCATAGTGGGTACCCTAAGCTCGCTCTGCTCTCTCCTCCCGACCTTGGTGTGCCCATCCGCCTAGGTGGGCTGTGGCGCTGGTTACAGGCAGAAAGAAGAACTCAGAGCACAGGGCCAGGTGTAAGGCCACCTCACTAACCCACAAATGAGAAGGTGTGACCAGTTCACACAGTGGGGTCTTTATATCCAGGGCTGAAGACTGCCTCCCAGGGCTCTTTCACGTTCAGAACCTTCTGAGACTCACCATGGCTACTACTACACATCCTGAGTACAAACATGGGCATGACTGGCTAAGAGCAGGCATCAGGACCAAGTGCAAAGTGGCCACTGCCACGCTCAGGCTCAGAGATTCAGGAAGATCACAGGTATGGGCTCTATAAGGTAGGACACCCACCCTTGTGCCAACACACCCACAGGTCCCAGGGGAGGACCCCTGCTTACTCAAAGTCCCCGTCCCGGTACTTGCCGAAGGCCTGGAGAATAACGGTGCTAACAGCCATGAGAGGCTTCACCACACAGAACTGAAGGGTGGCCTGTTCGGGAGACAGACAAGACAGGATGAAGCAGGGATGTGGGAAAGCACCAGCCCTGGCAGCTGGGCCTACGCTGGTGGCTAGGGAGGGAACTGTGTGCGGGGGAGGCAGGATGTGTAAGGAGACACGGGGCCCAGTAGACCAGGAGGAGAAGACACCTCAGAGACCGCTTGGAGGATGAGGGGCCTTCAGGAAGATGGAGAAAGGCAGGAACAAGGCAGAGGGAGCAGCTCCAGGCCAGTGGGATGGCACTTGTCTGCCAAGTCTGCTGACGTAAGTGTGATCCTCAGGACAACACAGTGGAAGGAAAGAACTTCCTGCAAGTCGCACCCCCCCACGCACACACAAACAATAACCAACAAAGAAATAAATGAATGCATACATACATAAGAAGGAGCAGGTCATGCAGAGGCTCACCCAGGGCAGAGTGTGAACAAGGACAGGAGTGGGCACTAGCGAGAGCAGCAGGAGGTGGCTAGGGAGAGCAGCAGGTCCTGGACCTCATGCTCTGGACAAGTGGGCTCTAATGAGGAGCTGGCCACACAGGGAGCAGGTGAGGACAGGGGAGAGGACATCCCTCTAATACTGGGAGGCCCAAAAGGTACATGGGAACTCAGGCCTAGTCAGCTATTGACTGTGGTCTTTCCGGCAATCACCTGGTCTCCAAGTGGTAGCCATCTGGGTAAACATTAACGTAACCCATGCCCACAGCACAGGTGGCAAATGTGGGGATGGAAGAGCTGGACAGCAGTGTCTTCTTGAGGCTGCCTACTCTATGTGCAGTCAGACCTGGGAGGCTGTGCTAAGCCGGGCCCTACAACTCCTGTAATCCAGTGGGGTGTCCGCACCACCCACAGACTCCCACTGACTTACAAGTGTTCACCCTCAGCCCGAAGCCCTGAGTAAAGGGGTGGGCATGTGAAAGTCCAGCCATGTGGACTGGCCAGCGTGGCTCTGGATAGGACCCGTGGCTGGTAGAAGGGCAGCCTGGGAACACATTTCTGCCCCACTGACGACCTGGTTTGTGCTGTGGGAGAGCCATGGCAGACAGATGTGACAGGAACAGCTGTGTGCTGCTACCAGGAAGCCCCACAGAACCCTGGGCGGCAAACCTCCCCCAGAGGGAGTTTGAGGAGGGAGAAGAGCAGGGGTTCACACCCCAGAAACTGAGGCACAGGGCTGCACTGGAGTCCGAGGCAGCAGGCCCCAGAGTCTGTCCAGCTACGCCATGGGTCAGTCTGAGATCCACAGACCAGGCTAGATGTCAAAGTCCTGTGTCAGTCCCAGGAGTGGGCGGGCAGTCCTTTCTAGACCTCTGCTGGCTGGGCCAGGGGTCACTGATCCAAAACTCTCTACTTCTCTCCCTTCCTCTCTCCTTTCCCTGCCTCTGCTTCTTCCCCTTCCTCCTCTCCTCCTCCTCCTCGTTGGCAGTGCTAGGGACAGAACCCAGGACCTCACACAGGCGAGGCGAGTGCTTTTCCACCACTTTGTAGCCCAAGCCCAGGAATTTCCACTTCTAACAAGTGCTCCAAAACTCAGTCACTGGGCGCAGGGCCCAAGGACATCCTGGCCCACCCTGTGGCTCTGGAATGAAGCTGGGGGTGCCTGCTGGGAGCCTTCGAGTGTTCCTGTCCTCTCACTGCCCGTCTGCATGTCAAGGGTCAACAGCGGAGCTCCGAGCCCACAGGGCAGGGAATGATCTGGACCTGCTGACAGTGATGGGGGGCTCACTCTGCTCTCTCCTCTGCTCTAGAGAGCAGAACTCTGAGGACAATGTAATGATCAAAAGCGGCTATGAGTCACGCTGGGCCTGGACTGGGTGGTTGAACCATGTAAACAAAGGCTCTGCAAGCCCCACCCTGGACCAGGACAGTTTTAACCCCTTCTGGGCCACTCCATGAGAGAGATCCTGAGGCTCCCTCAGGGAGGCAGAACCAGTAGCAGAACTGGAGCCCGGGCATGTCTACGCTGTTGTGTTGGGTAGCCATGCTGTCCCAGCAGGAGGTGGGGCAGCATTTCTCTTGACTACTTGGTCATGTTGGAGGGGCTGACAGAGGGCCTGCAGAGGCCCAGGACAGTCATGAAGACTGGGTGTGGCACCCTCAGATTCTATCTCCCTGAATGAGCCAGAGCTGCACTAAAGGCTTACATCCACTGCCTCATCTGTTCCTTTTAGTCACCCCTGAGATAAGTATTGCCACCCCCATTTTATAAGAGGACAAACAAGCTCAGAGAGGTTAAGCAAATGGTCTGAGGTCACACAGTCAGACAAGCTGAGAAGTGGTAGGCAAGGAAACCAGAAGCTGTGGCACTGCCAACTGGAATGTGCAAGGGTAGGGACCACACAGTCCTGTCTGTTGTGTATCTTTAATGCCTAGACCCTCTTGTCCAGACACAGGGATAAGTTTTCAAACTGACAGTCTAGAACTCCAGATCAGCTTGGGGACAGCTGGGAACCAGGAAACCTCCACAGGTAGGGAACACGTCAGCATGCAACAGGAACTGCCCTCCAAGACACAGGTCTGAACCTGTGTCTCTAGCCTGGTCCTCCTGACTGGGGCTGCTGCTAGGCACATACCTGTTTGCAGAAACGCAGGAATCCGATGGAGTAGGTCTTTCCCCACAGGCAGCACGTGCCATACATACAGCTTGACCTAGGAGAGACGGGTAGAGAGGGCTAGGAGATGGGAAGGGTAGGATGGGAAAGGCTGCCCACCTCTTCCAACAAGCCAGGGCACAGGGTGGGACCAGAAGCACTGAATGAAAAGGAAAAGCTGTAGGTGGGAAAAATGCCAACAGGAAAGGACAAAGAGGGCCAGGGAGGAGCTGGGGAGCAAGGCACAGCAGGGCCAGGGCTAAGGGGGTCTGCATGTCCATCTGCAAGGCTGTGAGGGGCCCACGTGGGGTTCAGGAAGCTGTCATACTCACTCGATGGCCTTCCCTCTGATCTCAGCCATGATGGCACTCTCTCCCCCAAGGTACTCATAGCACAGGCTCAGGAAGTTATAAATGACAAAGGCTGTGAAAAATCCAGAGCAAAGTAGCCAGGTCAGCAGAATGGTCGCTGGGACTAGAACAAGAAAGGACTGAGCCCCAGCTACACTTAGCCCTGCAGTCTTTCCAGACTGTGAACATGCTGCAGGTAGGAACTGAGTTACGTGCCTCCAGTACCAACCAAAGCCCTGGTCCCTGCGCCCACAACCAACACTGAAGGAATCAAAGTCAAGGGGATGGATGTGGGATGGGAAGGTGGGGACTGGATACCACCTAGCCCCAAAGCACCTCCAGCCAAGGCCCAGGGCAGGCCACAGGCTTCCTCGCAGACTGGTTCTCACAGGGCCCTCCCTCTGGCAGGCGAGGAAGGAAACCTTCCTCAAGGTGGATTCTCCAGAAAAGCCACAGGGCCCATCATTATCATCATCATCGTCATCATCATCATCGTCATCATCGTCACCATCATCATCATCATCATCATCATCACCTCTTGCCAAGCAGTCCCTGGAATGCTCTCGTGAGGAGGAGAGCCACCAAGCTCACCCCTTTCCCGTTCTGTGCTGCAAGCTCTGTCAGCGTGTGCCTGGGCTGCTGTTCAAGCCCGAGCCACAGCCAGTTCTGACGGAGCTGCTCAGACTACCATAGCATTCAGGACTGCCTAAGAGTACACAGGCCAGCCGGCCAGTGTGCTGTTTCACTCCAAACAATCATCAGTGAGTCAACAATGGACTGCATCACATCTCAGAGAAAGGGGACCAGAGACAATCTCCTTAGACATGATTTGTTTGGTCAAATCAGCCCCTGACCATCTGGAAAAATCCATCCCCTTTCTAGGAAAAATACAGGCTCACACAGAATAGATCCAAACACCCAGCAATAGCGTTTACACCAGAGGCCTCTATACAGGCCAGAAACAGAACAGAGAGAGGCTGACATGTGACCAGGAGGGGGTGTAACTCAGGCAGCAGGTTGTCACCCTATGGTTGTCTCAAAATGGTTCCAGACCTGGTCTCTAGGAAGGCCCCTGTGCATCCTGAATACCTGCCACAGCCTATATGCCAGGCTGTGTGCTAGGCCCAGGACGTGTCAATGACCATGGGACCCACAGTCCCAAGGGAAGTGATGGTCTCTCATACTCCTGCCCTGGACTGTTGGCTATCTAGAACTTTCTCCTCCATTCTAGATACCACATCTCAAGTTACAGACAGGAGTACGCCATCAGGGAAGGAGGGAGAGGATCAAGAACAAACAGAACTCTGCTGGAGGCTTGTCCACACTCCAGACAGGAGCCACACGGTCTCAGACAGATCCCAGGAGGACTTCAGCTTAACAGAACGAACAAACCTTTCTCCCCCCGTTTTTCCAGACAGGGGCTCATCGTGTAGCTAAGGCTGGCCCCAAACCGGCAGAGATCCTTCAGCCTCTGTCTCCCAAAAGTGCTGGATTACAGGCAAGTGCCATCACACCTGACTTGGAAAGAATATTTCTTTTTTGTTGTGGTTATTTGTTTTTGTTTTGTTGTTGTTGTTGTTTTGTGTGTGTGTGTGTGTGGTTTTTTTTTTTTTTTTTTTTTTTTTTTTTTTTTTTTTTTTTGAGACAGGGTTTCTCTGTGTAGCTTTGGTGCCTGTCCTGGATCTTGCTCTGTAGACCAGGCTGGCCTCTGCCTCCCGAGTACTGGGATTAAAGGCGTGCATCACCATCACCCAGTGGGAAGAACATTTCTATGAGCATCATCATCAGAGAAGGAAGCCGTGAGCTCCAGGGTGGCCATTAGACACAAGCGTCAGAGGCAGGCACCCCTCAGCAGAGATGGGGGTCCCTTCTCTAGCCAGTAACTACCTGGACAGAAGGTTACAGTCTAAATCACTACGGCCCACTCAGTCTCTCCACTGTCAGCCCCACAAACAAACAACACACAGTCTGGGAGCTCAGAAGTGTCCTCTAGGCCCCAGGCCAGAAGTCAGACGCTGTTCAGTATACACTCACTGACTCTATGAAGGCTAGGTGCCGTGGAGAGCTGATGGTTCCGAGTGTATCTGGCTGCTCCACGCTCTGTCCAGTTTGAGTATCTTCGGCTGATCTCTGCCTCTGCTAAACAGAGACTCTAAGTTGATCGGGAAAGACCAAGTTGTCTGGGACATTCCAGATAACTGAGGACATGTCTGGAAAACTGAATGTGCCTGCTCCGGACAGAAGTCCTTTCTGCTTGGTACACTGAGACTCAGAACGTTCTTTCTCGAATTTCGGGGCTATGTGGCCATCCGAGGCAATCACAGTACGATGAACCAGCTCTGGTGGACAGAGGACCTACCCCTAAATAGATGTCCCCAATTCTACACTGCTCCAAGCCCTCTGTGAACCCTGCTTGCCCCTGCTCTGGCAGCCCACATGCTGCTTCGGATCCCTCTTCCATCGGCCCTCTCTCTCCCTTTCCTCCGATCCACTGAGCTCTACGCGCCTAGTTTGTGAGCTGTGGCTGGTGGCACCATTACCCGTCAGGGTGACCTACGGACAGCCGGCTGGCCAATGGCTCTTTTTTTTAAACTACATGTATTTATTTATTTATCTGTATATATGTGCGAATACACGTGTGCCACAGCACGGGTGTGGAGCTCAGAGGGGAACTTGCAGGAGTCAGGTCATCAGCGTTGGCGGCAAGCATCTTTCCCGGCTGAGCTCTCTCACTGACCCCTGGCCTATGGTTCTTTGTTTACTCACTGTGCCCTCTGGCAAGAAAGACGGTTCATTTTGGGCCACACGTCAAGATTCAGTGTATCCAAAACTCGAACTCTGGGGCCAGGTGTGATGTTGTACAGCTGTGATGCCAGCGCAAGGAAGGCTGGGCAAGAGGGTCATGAATTTAAGGCCAGCCTGGGCTACATATCTAAACCGCATCTCAAAACCAAGAAGCTGAACTCAGAAATGGGCAGAGGACGTTGTGTTCCTCCTATGCATGTAAACTCTTTCTCAAAGGGAGTCCACACTTCTCTGGGGGGAAACAATGGTCTGTTCCTCTCCTTCACCAAGCCCAGCATCTAGCAAACCGTGGCTGCAAAGAACCAGGTAGGAATCTGGCGTTCCATCACTATGGGGTCACTCTGGACAAGGTTTGCGGCTACCTGCACCTCTGTTTTCACACTGTATAATGGGTGTGTGATACACACTCCACCTGGTACTAGGAGGTGAGAATGCGCTAATGATGATGAAGAACCTGGGGTAAACTGTGAACGCCACATAAACATCTGTAACACCACATAGGCAGGGAGCAGAGGAAGCTGCATGGCCACCTCTGGTCACCGACCCTCCCAGGCTCTTACCTCACCCCAAACCCAATCAGACACCAAAATGTGTACAGCAATCGTCTCTCACCCCAGCCATGTGGCCGATCCCAGTGTCGTGTGAACTACAGCCCTCCTCAGATGAGTGCTGTACAGAGCTGGGGCATCCTGGGAAAGGTACCCAACATCTCTGAGGCTCAGCCTTTGCCTCAGAGAATGGGAACCCTGCTGTCTACGTGAGTATAGATGTATACTTCCTGAGTGCAACACACAACTGCCCTCTCTTCCCTCTAAAATGCAACCCAACAGGTGGAACTGAACTGACCTCAGATAAGAAGCAAACTATCAGGGCAGGAAGAATGCCAATGGGGCCACCGCTGGGACACAGCAGGAGCTCGGGGTGATGCTATGGTTTCTAACACAAAGGTCAAAAACTAAAGCAGAGGCAGAGATGGCTCAGTGGGTGAGAGCACTGTTGTACCAGCATAGAGACCCAGGTTCAAATCCCGACCAAAGCCGAGCACGGTCATGTGTGCACACCTGTAACTCCAAAGCTGGTGAGGGGCTGGAGAATGTTCAGGGGCACAGCCAGAAGATTGTTTGGGTTTTCTGGCCACAGTCTAGCTCCAGGTTTAGAGAAAGGCCCTAAGTAAAGGAATAAGGCAGAAAGTGATAGATAGGACATCAGACGGCCTCCTCTGGCCTCTGCACCTGCACACACACATGCATACACACACACACACACACACACACACACACACACACACACACACACACACACACACACACACACACATGGTGTGGGGGGGGAATCATTATTAGTATCCCTAGAGAAGAGAATACTCCAGAGCACCAAGAAGAAGGGGCTTGAAGAAGAGCAGAGAAGAGCCACTGACACATCACACTGAGAAATGAAGGGAAACAGGCAAAGAAAGTCACAGCCGATGAAGTGAAAAACAGTCAATAAACAGCTCCTGGAGAGCAACAGAGACAGAACAAGACACTGAGAAGACACAAGACTTGGTCCAGGAGTGCATCCCCAGGGCAGAAATCCCAGGAGGAAGAAAGGGAAAGGAGAGGATGCTTCTGAGGGACTGGGCGGCGGCGGCGGGACAGCTTCTGAACCATAAAGACACTCTCCCTGGGTGGACATTCCTGAAGATTGAGAAGTGTTTCAAGCCCAGGTACGCCTGCTGATCCCTGTCCAGCCCACAGGGGTCTTGATCCCTTACATTGAGCAGTGAGCAAGGCTGTCCTCCAGCCGAAGACTCAGGACTGCTAACTTCACCAAGGTCATGGTCTGTGGCTCCGACTTGTGCAACCTCCAACCAAATGGACACTTTTGCCCACAGCTAAGAGGAGTGTTCATGCTTCAGAAAGCCGTGAAGGCCTCTGGATGAAGTGAGAGGGACCTGGACACAAAGGTTAGGTAGGTTGTGGCTAGTAGTGGGGTGGTTCTGGCTTGCTTTAACTCTGTTATATACTTTATATTCAAGTTAAGCAAAACCTGGGAGTTTTGAAACCCAACCTTGCTGAACCCTGATGTGAATATCTCTTTCCAAGTTGCTAACTAAATAATAAAGTTTAAATAATTAAATCATTTTTAAAAGGAAAGGAAAAGTATCAAAGACACAAACAAGAAAAGGTCTCAGGTCCTGACCTGAGCTGTGGCGTTCAAGCCTGCCAGGTCTCCCAACACGGTGACTATTAGTCTATCTTCTATGAGATTCCAGAACTGGGAGGTTGAAAACAAGACCTTTCTTTTTTTTTTTTTTTTTTTTTCTTGGTTTTTCAAGACAGGGTTTCTCTGTGTAGTTTTGGTGTCTGTCCTGGATCTCGCTCTGTAGACCAGGCTGGACTTGAACTCACAGAGATCCGCCTGGCTCTGCCTCTCAAGTGCTGGGATTAAAGGTGTGCGCCACCACTGCCTGGCCCGAAAACAAGATCTTAAAAGCTAGGAAGAATATGCAAGCAGCTAGGCAGGATCAGAATCCAACAGACTTCCCAGAAGCAGTACCAAGAGCTGAAGCCGTGAGAGGTGGCCTGCAGGACCCAACCCCGAGGTGTGGTCCCTTCCCAGGATGTCAATCACAGAGCAATCAATAAGGACTCTTTGGACTTCGCACCAGCACCCTATGCACCTGCTTTTTCAGGAGGCTGGTGGAGGATGTGCCCTGACCAACAGAGAGAAGAAACCACAAACCAAGGAGAAATGGGGACAGGTGGCCCACGCAGCACAGGAGAAGCTGACACTGTCCAAGAAGGACCGTGAATGACAGAGCCTGGGTGACAGGTGAGCAGAGGAGGCCTCACAAGCAAGCTCTGCAGACTGCAGAGAAATGTGGTAAAGAAAAAGCCAGTAGTGACAGAGTCCCACATCACCACCTTGGGGAGAGCAGGGCTGGTTATTAAAATCCCAACTGTAGCATTCAGGAATAAATGAATGCTAAGTACAGAAAACTGGACAACTCCCAAATTAAAACAAGTAGCTAGTACCTGTGGCAAAACCCAGACTTCACATGTAAAGGACAGGGAGGATCAGCCCGAGGCACAGCTACAATCCTGCCTTTACTCCCAGGACTCTGGAATGGAGGTAGGAGCAAACAGACAGAGCAAGTCACACAACCAATGAGAGGAAAGAGAAGAAGGGGAGTGTGGGGCGGCACAAGGCTCCGCTTTGGACAATATTTAAACACACAGATTGCAAACACTAGAAAAAAAATGTAGTTCAGTCTCCCTGGTAAGGTGAAGAAAGAGAAGTGTTTATGAGTGTGCGTGTGTGCGTGTGCGTGTGTGTGTGCGTGCGCGCTTTTTAATTTCATCACGAAGTAAAAGAAACCTGAAGAAGGGCCAGGTGGGAGTGAAGGCCAGGCTGCCGGCTCAAGACACCAAAGCCAGTGACCTCAGGCAGCCTCAGCTCCAGGGGCCCTGTGCTGTTTGTAACCCCCGGGAGATGAGAGGCCAGAGACAACAGTGTTGCTAGGAGATGAGTGGCAGACTTCCTGAGCCAACCTTTCCACAGGCCGGGAGGCTGGTTGGGGCAGGTGGGAGAAACAAAGAGGCCTCTGAAGTGGGGGTGCCACCCACCATCTGCTGCTACTTTGGGGTGTCGAGTAAGGACAGACTGGTAGCTCCCCTGTGTCCTCACCATTTGCTAGATGTCCCATCTTCAGGGCCAAACCAAGGAGAAAACCTATGTTTGCCCCTAGACGACACAGGACACACAGACACAAACACACACGAAGCCACATGCACAGTAAAGAACAACCTTTTGCTTCTAAGAGAAGCAGGTGAGCAGAAGCTGTACCACTCGAGGCTGGCACCTGCAGGGAGGGGGATGCCCAGCTCCTCCCTTCCCAGTCAGAGGTTTCCCTGGGGGATTTTCTGCGTTCAGGAACATCAAGCACAGTGCAGCACTGAGCAGGCCCCCATCTGCCTCTATAGTCTCTCTTGGAAGGAATTTATGAGAGCATCAGCCAGGAGAAGGGTGCCTGGGAGACGATGCAGCTGCAGGGGACTGGATAGGGCTCACAGTGTGAGTCTCTTTATTTAAAAAGGATAGCTTAAAGGAAAACCACATGCCTGGCATGTGTGAGCCCCCGACTCCTCCAACACAAACATGCAAACGGACTGGGGATGTATTTTAGTTGGTAGAGTGCTTGCCTAGCATCTAGAAAGCCCTGAGTTCCATGCCCAGCACCACACAAAACCAGGTATGGTAGCATATACCTGTAACCCTAGCACTTGGGAGGCAGAGGCAGGAGGATCTCTGAGTTCAAGCCCAGCCTGGTCTACAGACCAAGTTCCAGGACAACCAGGGCTATACAGAGAAACCCTGTCTCAAAAGAAAAAAAAAAAAAAAAGAGTTTGGAGTTGGAGCTGGAGAGATGGCTCAGCAGTTAAGAGCACTGGCTGCTCTTCCAGATCCATCCTGGCCTGATTACCAACACCACCTCCTGGCCTCTTCAGGCACTGCACATACATGGTGCACAGATCTACAGGCAGGCAAACACTCATACACATAAAAGACAGACAAACAGACAAAGAATATAAAGTGTACACCTTTTAATTCTAGTACTCAAGAGGCATAAACAGGCAGATCTCTGTGAGTTCAAGGCCAGCCTTGTCTACGCAGTTAAGTTCCAGGCCAGTCAGAGCTATAACATGAGACCCTGACACAAAAAGTTTGAGGCCAGGCTGCATGAGATCCTGTCTCAAAGCGGGGAGAGGAGTCACTGCTGTCATGTGCCTGGCTGTGTTCGCACACTGAGTGAAGCCTCCTCTCAGCAGTACCCACTGCAGAGGTGGACAATGTGTGGACAAGAAGGGTATGACACTGGAGAAGAGACAGGATGAGAGTCAGGCCCACCCAGGGCTGGAAAATCAGACCATGCCAGCTCCCAACACCAGGAAACTACCTACTGCTCCAGCTGGGATGGAGGCTGCTGTGTCTCCTGTAGAGAGTGTGGAGGAGGCAAGAGGGATGAGGGGGAACGTGGTGGGAGGAGCTAAGGAGCCGAGGCCCAGGAGAGGGTGCCAGTCCTTTCCTTTGAGATGCAACAGAGCACCACTGGGGACACACGGAGTTGCAGGCCCAGCTGTGCAAACCCTCCCACCCACAGATGGACCATTACAAGTTGCCCACCAGCTAGAAAAGCCAGAACTGAGAAAAAAATGAGTTAGAGGTGGAGCTCCTGCCTCCCGGCATCTGTGACTGTGTCCTGGGATCCTCCACACCAAAGCACGTCTGTAAGGGGATACTTGGCTACACAAGTATGGTTACCCGTCATTAGGGATCGATGGAGAGCCAGGTGGGGAAGAGGAATCCACATTAATTTTCATGAGGTCCAGACCCCAGGGAAGAACTGAGGAATGACACCCCCGCCCCCAGATCCTAGAAGTGATGAGGCAGAGCACTCCCCTTGCTCCCATGGCCCGAACTCCCCACCCTCCGGTCCTCTCCACACTGTGTCCTCACCCTCGTAGCAGTCACGGATGGTGCCGAAGTACACATAGTACTGGTCATTGGTGAAGAAGAGGAGGCTGAGCCAGGAGTCGAAGGCGTAGATGGGCACGATGAAGAGGATGCGCACGATGTGGCGCTGCTCGTTGGGGCGGCTGTAGCAGCGCAGATGCATGTAGATCTGGGTGAAGGGCACCAGGTCAGTGAAGGCCTACTGTTACCACACCTGCCTCCCACCATCTATCTGCCCTCTTCTTCCTGCTCCGAGGGAAGAGGGGAGCTCCTGGCTCCTGGCTCTGCCCTTCTTGTTCTATGGCCTGATATAAAGTACCCACCCTGGGACTTAGTCCTGCTCAGGAAAATTAGTTGATAAAACTTCCATCATAAGAGTCAAATCAAAGGGATCACATAAAGCTGGTATGAGCAGCATCTACAGGCCACCTTTCAGCTAGATGGGACTTAGGTAAGGCCATGGTGGTGCTGATGCTGTGGTCCCCAATGTGTGCTCCCGTTCATCCTGCCTTCCCAAAGCCAAGTTCCCAGGGTCGCACAGCAGCGGCACTGGGTTAACTGAAGGGCTGATCAAGGGCATCTGGCTGTGACCCTTCTGCTGTGTCCCTTAGCAGATGCCAGAAAGGGTGGGACAGACAGGAGCTTCACCCTGGAGGACCCAGATATTCTTCCTGGCCATGTGTCCACAGTGGTGTGTTCACACCATGCCGTTCCTCAATCTGCTGAACCCAGGCAGCACTGCTGTCCCCGGGGAGGCAGAGGAAGGCAGCACAACTCTGAGAAAGCAGAGCCAAGAGCCAGGCCCGGGGCCTGGTCCCAACTCTCATGACATCACTCTTGGCCCAGCCCAGCCCTGGCTGAGGAAAAGGACAAAACATTCCCGTCTGCTGTGAGCCCATCTCTTGGACACTGATAGATCTAAAAGAGACTGAGACACAGGACAGCTGGTGAGGGACTGCCAGGGACCTGAGCAGACTCAACCAGCCTACACGGGGCATTCATCAAGCCTCCTTCTTGAGCGCCCAACCTCCCCTGAGCTCACGAGTGCAGGAGACACGAGACTTGACTTCTCTCCCTGAGCTGCCAGCCACATACATGCAACCAGCTCCTCTGCCACCCCCCTCGGGTTCTCAAGTCTCTCCTTCGCAAAGACATCTCTAACATGTACAGTTCTGTGGCTTCGGCTAGACATGGGCATAGCCAATAACTACTAAGCAGAAGTAACAGCGTCACTTCTAGATCAAAGCAGACAAGTATCTGGGTGTCTCCTCACATTCCTGCAGCTCTGGTTGTTAGGGGTGCAGATAACTCCAGAGCCACAACCTGCCCTCAGCTGAGCTGGGGTGTGGAGGAGAAATCCCCTAGGAAGCAAAGCACACTCACTGCTACAGCCCGGCTTGCTGAAGTATGCTTTGTTGGACTAGAAACCACTCGGGACCCGTATGGAGGAGGTTCCCTCTTCACACCCAGGTACCTGGTGGCAGGTGATGAGCAGAGCTGTCCACACAAAGAAACCAGAGATGGCCTGGGCGGCCGTGGTCATCAGGAACACGGGCTGCTCCATGGCTGTGGGACTGCCCTCGGGGGTTGCAGAGACGCCAGGCGAAGCTGCTGCGGTCGTGGGTGATGCTGGGTCTGGGGCCAGCGCAGCCCCCCTCACTGTCATGGTGCTCAGCAGCAGCAGCAGGCTTCCTGAGAGAATCTCTTGGAGTGTGTGATGGGCTGGCCTAGAAAAGAAATCTGGGTGAGAGCTAGTGCTGGAAATACCCTTCGAGGTCCACATCACTCTGGCCCCAGCCGTGTCCCTACACTGCCCTTGTCCTGCCATGTCTAGGCCAACACACAACGGCTTTAGTCAGACCAGGACCTTTGTTTGCCAAAAGTCCCCAACAGCTCCCTTCCAAGTTAGGAAACCAAAACATGGCTGGGAATGCAGTGGTCCAGAAGAGTGCCGCTCCACAACTATCAAGAATGCCTGACCCACCTGCTACCCTGGCAGTCCCCAAGTACTGCTGCTGCACGCTGGAGCCTCGTACGGCACACACAACTGCCTCCTGGGTCCTCTGGCCACTCCCCTTTAGAGGCAAGGTCTTGCTATGTATAGCCCAGGCAGGCCTTGGGCTCACAATCCTCCTGCCTCAGGCTTCTGAGTACTGGGATTACAAATGTACCACCCTGGTCTGGCAAAAACCATTTTATCGCCATAGGCTTCTATCTGAAGGACTTGGTATTTGAGTTTCCTGACTTCCCTAATGGCTAAGAGCGGTCCATCCCTTGGACCCGGCTGAGCTATCTTCGAGACTTTAGGGCTCTTCCCAATTGTGCACCCTCAAACTTTGAACTATAGAACTACAGAACCTAGGACTCCACACGTGAGGCAAGTACTCTACCACTGATCTACACAGCTGCCCCTAAAAATCATCTTCTAACTCAGCACAAATATGCTCTTTCTTGAAACCCTGCCTACACACTTTCCCAACAGATACTCCAATCCATTTCATGTGCCGCCCTTACTGTTCTCGAACACATGGTCTGCATTCGGTCCCCATGTCTACCTTCCTGCCTGCTCAGAAACAGTACCCTATTCCTGTCTTTGAATCCCCACCACCAAGCCCAGCACCCGGCCCTTTATAATGCTCAACTTCACTACTGGCTTTCAATGCATATTCAAAGAGAATATGAGTAAGGTACTCCACGACATGGAACAAGGCAGAACTGAGGAAACAGACATCAAGGGACTCTCCAGTGGGAAAGCGAAGCCGAGACTAGATGGCATCTCTGTGGAAGCAACACCTTCCTCGGTAGAGAGATGGAGTCCCATTTGACGTGGAGAAGTAGCCCCCATATGGCCGAGAGAAAAGACGCTGTCAGGTACCCAAGATGTTCACCACTGGAGGCCAAGGCTGGGCCAGAGACCAGAGCCACTTTCAAAAAGCAAAGCTTTCCAGGATCATCCAGAATGTGCGCTTAGGAGTCTGATGCACCAAAGTGATAGCGTTAGGAGGTGGGGTATTTGGGTGCTTAGGTCAGAAGGGTGGAGCCCTCACAAAAGGGATTAGTACCCTCATATGAGACCCCTTGCCTTTTCTGCAACTTGAAGACAGAGTAAAAGGAGTTGCCTATGAATCTGAAATGGGCCCCACTGGACAGAGTGTGGTCAGTGCCTGGATCTCAACCGCCCAGCCTCTAGAACTGTGAGAAACGGGCCAGTTTCCAGCATTCTGTTACAGCGGCTGGAGAGGAGGAATCCAACTGCCCCCTCTACCGCGGCTCAGAGCCCCATGAGCCTCACCCTCTTCAGTACTGCCACCTACTGACAAGAGTCAGTACCGTCCGCCATCAGCCGACCTGAAAGGCCAACTGCCCAAACTGGCCACGACTCACCCTGCACCAGGGCACACAGAGCACACAGAGAGGGGTAAGTGGAGAAGAGACAGTGAGCATCAGAGACACGCATGGGAGCGGACATACAGGACAGAATGCAGTGACACCTGAAGAAGACTCTCCAAACAACGCATGCCTGCCCTATGACCTGGCCACACTGCTGTCCACCCGCACCTCCTGCCCGGCTCCCTCTAACCCATCTCCACATCCACCTGTCGGCTCCTGCAGGACACTGGACCAGGCAAAGTCCCTTACACTGCTCTTTTCTTTCACATAAACAATCCCTAACCCACCGCCTAAAAGACAGATCCAAGACTCAAAAACAGAGAAGGCACCTAAATCGGGAAACTCAAAAACGGAGAAGGTGTCTATATATAAAGACTGGTGGCAAGTTCTGGAAAAAAGACACTGTGACAGCCTAATAATAGCTGCTGTGGGCACGGCTGCCAAGCTGAGAGCTAGTGCCTGAGACGTGGCTTTAGGAGGCTTTCACTGGAAATCAACGTCTTTGCCTGTCACCCCAGATTAAAAGAATAAACACGGGGGTGGGCAAAACACGAACAAATACCCTCAATCGCCAGCATGTCCCCCAAATACTATCTCATGTTTATTTTCTCTCTTGGCAACATTAAAGTAAGTGACATTATCTACATCTTGGAAAGAGAAAAAAGATGTGCAACTTGGCTTTCAGCCCCCTACCAAATGATTTGAAGGTTTCTAGAACATTCTCTCAGATAACAGTTAAAGCAATGCCCTCACTCATAAACATTTAGTCTCTGGTCCCCTTGAAAGGCAGGTGTAGCAGCTCCTCCACCCAGACCCAAGACCCACATGGAGGCTTCCGACATCTGCAGTCCAGTCCACAACACACTACGCTTGCAAACTGTTCCCAGTGTGTACAGAGGGTGAGGAGGGAGCAGACCCTGGGTCCCACTCTTCACACTGTGTACAGAGAAGAGAGCAGACCCTGGGTCCCACTCTTCACACTGTGTACAGGAGAGGAGAGATACTGGGTTCCACTGTTCCATACCTGGGACAGACAGATGTTTCCCTGGGAAGGAGCACTTGCTGACCTAGAACCAGTAACAAACAGAGCATGGCCTGGCTCAGCACTTGAGCCTTGACTGTGGCTGGGCCAACTGCAGCTGGTACAGCCCCCGCTAATCCATGTGGTCTCTATGGCCCCCCTTTAAATATAGTCCATGTTCCTCAAGGTAAGAGGAGACATACAAGACAACGCTCCAAATTCCAACTGCTCTAGCAGGTTGCCTTTTCCTTCCTTCCTTCCTTCCTTCCTTCCTTCCTTCCTTCCTTCCTTCCTTCCTTCCTTTTCTTTTCTTTTTTTAGGGGAGAGGTGTTCATCTGTATGTTTTTCAAGACAGGGTTTCTCTGTGTAGCCCTGGCTGTCCTGGAACTCGCTTTGTTGACCAGGCTGATCTTGAACTCAGAGATCCACCTGCCTCTGCCCCCTAAGTGCTGGGATTAAAGGTGTGTGCCACCACTGCCAGCTAAAAACATCTTTCCTTAATCACCTCCAACTCTCTGATTAAGAAAGGGGAGAAAGAAAGAGTGAAAGCTTTCATACTGTGAAAGATGCGCTGCAGCGTGGAGAGTGTCTGCAGCACAAACCTGGGGAACCGCCAGCATCCTGGGCAGAACAAGACGGTCAAAAGCTCAACTACACCATCCAACCTGAAAAGAAACAAGAGACACCAAGAGCATTTGGCTAAAGCTGATACATAGCTGGTGAGCACAACCTCAAAAGATAATGGAGAAAAAAATGAAAACCACAGTGAGGTACCCCAGAACTACAAAATGAGAAACAGTGTCGATGCCAATGTGGGCAAGCAGGCAGAGAAACGGCACCCCGAATGCACACTGGTGTGAAGACAGTGCAGAATCTGGTATTGTGCAGGCAGGTTTCTTCCAGTTCTGAGACAGCTGCTATCTTGACAGTGGGGATGGGTCCACAAATCCACAGGAGACAGACCACACAGAACTACATGCGGACACATGCATCCCACAGGTGACAACAGAGAGGAACCGAGGAACTTTACAGCCCCGTTCCCTGCTGCTACCTGCCCTCTGTGAACTGCTTCCATGAACTACTTTGTGTGGTCACAGCCAACAAGGACATGGCCAATGGAAGGAGCGCTGCACCTTTTATACTAGCTCCGGAACTTCCTGTGGCTCTCCATTTGTTTCAAATAGAGGGCTGGTTTTTGTATTTGTTTTTAGGTTATTTTTTCATTTTACTTCACTCGTATGAGTATTTTGTCTGCATATATGTATGTCACCACATGTGTACCTGGTACCCTCGGGGGCCACAGGAAGGTGCCAGATCCACTGGAAGTAGAGTTACCGACGGTTATAGGCCTCTGTGTGGGTGCTGGGGACTGAACCTGGGTCTTCTTCAGGAGAAACAAGTGTTCTTAACTGCTGAGCCACCTCTAGCCCCCAAAATAGATTTTAAAGTCTCCAGCATGCAGAGATGCATATTGGCATATTATAAGGGTAAAAAAAAAATAGCATGGTGCTATATCCCACGCCCATCCCCACTGCCCAAGGCTGGCCTTAAATTCTGTGTCCTGTGTTCAAGGGGTCCTCTGGGCTGGGGTGAGGCTTAGTTGGTAAATTGCTTGCCTAGCATGCCTGAAGATCTAGGTTCAGCCAGCAGCACCACACAGAAATGGATGGCAGTACACGATGGGAATCCCAGCACTTGGGAGACAGAGTTCAACATCATCCCCTGCTACTTAGCAAGTTCAAGGCCAGATTGGGCTACATGAGACTGTCTCAAAAAGGAAAAAAAAAATTTCTCCTGCCTCGGCCCCTAAAGCCTGAGTACAGCATCCAGTTTGGAAGAGAGAAAGATGGAATAAGATCATACAGAGTAACTGCTAAGACTCTGTGGGGCGGGAGAGACAGGCTCTTCAGCACGTAAGGAATTTTCCATAATGAAACACTCACTAGGCAGAACATGAAAACCTCCACAAAAGGTGAAATTGAGTGACTATGGAAACACCTATGGGAGAATCTGTCTCCTTACCTTGCAGGAAAACAACCTGAGTGGCCAAACCTAACAACAGGGAAACTGAGGCTGGACTCAATGCCAGGTGCTTCCATCTTAAGCACCAAAAAGAAAGAGCAAACCGTCCCATGTGTGGACACTTAGTTCTACACTGGCTGTAGGTCAGCTTCCCAGAACTGCCTTCAAAATGCCCTCTGGCACATTTGTGACACTCCTTCACAGGAAAGAGCCCTGGTTTAAGAGGCCCTAGGACACCACCGGCAGAGGCCACAAGCATGGAAGGCTCTACTGGTGCAGGGCTTTGTGACCAAAAGCTGTATCTCACATAGATTTAAAAAAAAAAAAATTAAAAAGTTTTCAAATCTGAAATTTTAAGATACTATGAAGTAGAATTTTTAGCTGATTAAAAAAATTCCCATCAAATCTTAGTTGTGTTAGAGACCTGGAAGCAAATGCCTGTGTGGTGTATAAAAATATCTGACTGCCAGGAAATGGAGATGTTCCAGCTAAACTCTGACAACAGTTCCTTTACACAGTCAGTGGCTGGGATGGGCCATGAATAACCTGATCTGAGAAGAGCCAAGGAAGAAGCACTGTCCACTGTGGCATGTGCAGGGCAGGGAGCTTTGTCAGGGAAGGTAGCCACGAAAACTGGAATGGCATGGAAACATGGATGGCAGAGTCGGGCCTTCCAGAGGCTTCCTTCCTCACTGCGCTAAAGCTCACATCCCCAGAAGGCACTGGCCTAGGAAGCCAGAGGGCTTGCAGCCATCAGTGACACCGACTTTAAAACTCATGACATCTTCAGCTTGTCTTCCGACCTCTGTGTCGAACGGGTCTTATAGTTACAATGGAATGGGAAGGGCGAGTTGTATATACTTCTCAGTACATCAAACCCGAGGTGCATGCTCAAAAAGCCTGGTGTTCGTCTATCTGTGTATGTGTGCTGTTCATGTGTGCACCCGTGTGCACATGTGCAGGAATGGAGGAGGGAGGGTGTCAGGTGCCCTCTATTGCTCTCTGCCTTATTCCCTTGGGACAGGTCCCTCAGTGAACCTGGAGCTCACTGTTTTCTGGCTAGATTGACAGCAAGTCCCAACAATCTTGCCCCACTTATGCTGGGGTAACTGGCATACAGGGCCACATCTGGCTTTTTATATGGGTGCTGGGGAACCAAGCACAGGTCCTCATGGTTGAAACAGAAAGGGCTCTCTACCCACTGAGCCATCCTACAGCCCACATCTGGTTTTTGTTTGTTTTGTTTTGAGACAGGGTCTCACTACACAGCCTTGGCTAGCCTGGATCTCAGAGAGCTGCCTGTTTCTGCCTCTGGAGTGCTAAGATCAGAAGCGGGGCAAGTTTGGGGGTTCTGTTGCTGATAAAAGTGTACAAGTACAGCGAGCAAAGGTCACCTGCATGGCTCATCTTCCTGCAGAGGTCTCTGTCCTTATTTCTCTAGCACAGTCCCTTAGCCCCCTTGGTCCCAGGCTGCAGATCACACAAGAACTTGCTGGGTCCCTCCAGTGGCCCACCTGCCAGTGGGTACTGTCACCCATCACCCACCACTCACCTTGTAGGGGACCTGCTCCCACTTTTTCCCCCAAGGTACTCTTGAGTAGGGAGAAGTGAGAAATATTTAGATAGAAATATAGAAGGGAGAGAGACAGATAGAAACACAGGATAGCCTTGGGAGGGTCTAGGTCAAAACCCACTGGCCCCTTCTGTCTCTGCTAAAGGGCTTTTAAAGGAATGACAAAGGGTGGAGCAAAAGACCTCCCCCTTGCTAGATCAAAGAATATGGCACGGCACAGGCAAGTGCAGACCCTTCCAAACACCTGGTAACCAAGCACGTGGTCAAGCCATCCCCTTATGCAGCCCTGCTGGGTAAAGCAAGCTCAGATCCCACTGGGAAACCTCTGTGGACCCCAACATCACCTGCCAGACCGCAACTCTGAAGAGGCCAGGCCTCAAGCTGTGATGTCACCTCACCATCCACCACTCCCCCACCAGCCTGCAACTCTGAAGAGGCCAGGCCTCAAACTGGTACTTTGTCCCCGATCCTGAGTCCTGGTGGCTGAGCTGGAATCTGTGCTGTCACCTGAGCTGGACCGAACAAGTGAGCAGGCTCTTATCTTGGGAGCAGAGCAAAGGTGTGGACTGTCCTGTTGCCATGGCCTTTGAGCCAATGAGCTTAGTAAACCAGAATTATCGACACTTTTAAAAGGGTATTGGGGCTGGGGACATGCCTCAGTGGTTAAAAGGGTTGCTCGGCGTGCACAGCACCCTGGATTCCATCCCTAGTATATATACTAGATATAGTGGCTCATGTCTGTTATCCCAGAGCTAGAGGTGGAGGTGGAAGCTTAAGACTGTTGGCTACACAGTGAGGTTGAGGGCAGCCTGAGGTGTGTGACACTGTTTCAACAACATTAAATACGTAAGTAAGTAAATAAATAGGTTATAGTGTTGCATGTGGTTTGACATTCACACAGGGGTCTAGGCAAACCCCTAAACCTCCCATGCATAGCATTCCCACAGCGAAAAATGTAGCTCACCCACCTGGGTACAATCTTTTTAAAGGTTATAATTAGCCTCACATCAATTCAGGTCAGATTTTTGCTGGGAAATGAGTCTGCTGCTGACTGAGGAGGAACATCTGTGGTTTCTGCACGATCTAGAGTCTGCCATGGTGGAGAAGGGGCATGGCTGTGGAGGCCTGGAGCTACAAGGACTGACTTCTACATCCACTCAGCACTGTCAGGAGTGGGCTGTAGTCTTTGACTCCTCAGCGACCCAGGCCTCTGGCCTCCTGTCTGAGCATCAGCAACAGAAACCCTATCACCCCACATGTGTGAGCACGTTTGAGTGTGTTTCTCCTCTGCCCTGGTCCTCTTGGTCACAAGACCTCAACTCTCACCTCACCAACAACATCCCCACCACCCCTAGGCCCAGCCCACTCCAGTGGAACCTGGCTGTGCTCAGTGCAAAGGCCTGCATTCCTGTCTTCCACATGCACTGCTTCTCTAGGTCCATAATGCCAGGCAGGCAGTAGGGACATGGAAAAAGGCCACGTGTGAGCAACTGAGCAACGGAGAGCCTGCTCTGTGGGCTCTGTCACCAGGACCCTCCCCACTGCTGACACTTCCCAGCTTGAGCGCCCGAGTGTGTGGCTGGAGGGAGGGTATGGAGAGGGCAGAGGATGGAAGCTGAGTCACATCCATCTTCCAGCCTGGAAAGGCCACACCAAGGAGAGCAAAGGACTGTTACAGCCTGGCAGGACACATGACGGTGAATCTGGGAATACAGATGCTTTCACCAATTGGGACACTCTGGCAAGGGGCTAGTTCCTTGAGTTAGGGACACTGACCACAGGTGAGCTCCTCCTGCCTTCTCCATGACAACACTGCCACCTTCTGGAGGAGGTCAAAGGTCATGTCTTAGAGCACCTGCCTTGGGGACTGGAATGTTCTACCATTTTCACTGAAGAACTCTGTCCCCAACTGCCTGCACATCGCCACCCTCTATCACATCCACGGTGTCACATCTTTGCTGGCCTGGTCTTTTCTCTCCGTCTTTTCAACTATGATGCTATCTGGTCACTGGACACCTGCCTTCCCGGAGAGAGGAGCTCCATGAGAGCAGGGACTATGGCCCTGAGGGC